CCTCCCTTCGTCCCCTCAAGCCCCCCCGTCCCCTTAGCCCCCGACATCCACACCTCTGTCCCTCTTCTCAGCTTATTCCATCCATCCCTGCATCAAACACCTCAGCATCTCCAGGTAGCCCCCGGTTTCCCCGAGCCAGTCCCTCAGCCTCTCCCGTCCAGGCGCCATGTCTCACTGCTCCTTTCAGTCTCCCATCCTGCCCCTCGGTCTCCACCTGCACCCTCTCTGTCACATTTCCAGACTCTCCAGCCTCTTGTCCTGCACAACACCTATGTGTCTGCTACCCCACTTATGGTCCCAGCCTCCTCTTTGCCCGTCTGTCACCTTGTTCTTCCCTATTCTTCTTCACTTTATAAACCCCCAGTTTGCCTGGGACTCTTCTTTAGCCCTAGATCCGTCTCTCCATGATTCCCCCAAGAGTTGCTTCACTCCTATCTATGATTCCTCCTTTACTCCCACAATCCAGGCCCTTTATTCCTCCCTCTCATTTTGGATGCTCAGATCCTTTACATTTCCTGGTTCTTAGGCTAACAAAACCAGGTTCCTGGGTTTTCCCCCACGTTGCCTTTTCTTGACACCCTGGCATGTCTTATGTTGCTTTTGTACTAGTTTGCTGGCCCAGAAAAGCTAATGCACAGAGTCTGTCTTTGATCTTGAGATCTGGGTTTGATCGTGTTTCTCCCTCACATCCATTGATAGGTTCGTATGAACCCTCGGAGCAGCAGCATCGCCCCCACACTGTGAATAAGAGTCGGAAGCAATTGCAACGAGAAAAAGCCCTCCAGCAGCAATGTCAGAAGCTGGGACTGCAGGGTGGAGCAGCCTCTGTTCCTCCTGAGCAGTTGCTTTCTGTACCAAAACACAAGCCTTGTCATCTTCAGCAGCCTGTGCCACCACCTCAAGCAGGAAATCAAAGGCAAAGTGACAACCAAGACCAGCAGAAGGAAGTGACACCAGTAGATCCCTGTAATGGCAGTGACAATGCCCAGACCTGCCCTGCAAAGCCAAACTCTAAAGTGGAGAAAAAGAAAGTGGAATTGTTAGTAAGTCGGTAAAATCAGGGGATGGGCTTTATTATTGTGTATTGATTCATTCTTTTGTTGTGAAGTAAAGTGACCTTTTCTGTATCTAATAGGAAGGTCTGAAAGATCATGTTTGCTTCCTCTATATTGAACCTTTGTTTTTATCTCTAGTTGTGTTAAACCTGATTCAAGACCAAATTCTGTAGTGTGATCCATGCAGGTGTGCATGGTGCTGTCTTCAGATAATTTCCTATAGCAGTGGGACTGTACATCATAAAGTGCCCAAGATGTAGGACTGTCTGAATGGTTTATGAAGACTTAGTCTCACTATTGTGCTGTGTAGACAAGCCAGCAGCCGCAACAAGTCCTTTTGAGAGTAGATACACTGGAACTGTGTTCCCCTTTACAGTATTGCTGCGTATTTATTAATGCCAAAAGGGTTGGTAAGGGGGTAAAATTTCAGGTTTAAGCAGTTCTCTAGCTTTTATGATTCAAGATGAGACCAATCTCAAGGCTCACCATCAGCCCACAGTGGGGTGCCTGTCTCCTTCAAAAGCATCGGACTGATACATGTGAGAGAGAGAAGGGAAAAAGTACTGAACGTGGCTCTCTGGGAATCTGCTTGAATGTGGCAGTTGTTTAGTTCACCATCCAGAATTCAGATAGTAGCCTATAAAAGAAAGCTGCTGTCTAAATGCTAGAGGGGGCAGGCATTTACGGTATGAGAAATTACTTGGTTTTACCTCTTCATGTTCGTTTTCTGTCTGTATCCAAGTGCTAATTTTCTTTTTTTCCTCAGGTGGCAAAGCAAAGTGTAAGGGGCAAAAGGATGATTTTTTTTTTCTAGGGCAGATAGCTTATTTTTAAAACACTTTAACAATGCTGTTCCAGCCTTGAGTTCCTATGCAGGTCCAAACTTTTCTGCCCAATATAATCAACAAACACTAGCTGGCCACCGAACTTCCGTGCCTCATTCATGTTCCGCCAAAACAGCGATCAGCAGCTTTCCAAGCGTGGTGTGCCGGACCCTATCTCTGGTTAGATCTGTCCGTAGGATCTCAGAGGGGACTGAAGGTGCTTCCTGCTGGAGAGGCAGAACTATGGCAGTCAGCAGCACTTGTGTGGGGAAGCAGCACATGGCTTCTCCCAAATTCAAAACTCAAAAGGATCCAGGAGGTTCTGTTTGGCAGAGATTCACCTTGAGAGCCTGCAGCTGCTGGCCATGCTGCCTGCATTTACCTGCCTGGCTTCTGGCTGGGATCACCTGCCTGCAGACAGCTGTCCCTTCACAAGCATAGCAGCACTTGGAACAGCAGTGCCAAATTCCTCGTGTGGGTGCAGCTCAGCGGTAGTACTGGCTGTTCTGCTCCTTCCTGGTGGTGAAAAATACAGGCCCTGTTTGACTGGGGAGAAGATAGCTAAAGCTTTGCAGAGAAGTTTTTCACTCTGTGAGGAGCAAATGACATTTAGCTGCAACAACCCACCCCCTGAATCTGCTGAATTCTTCTTAGCCTGTGCACTTGGATTTAAATCTTATTAAAAATATTTCTCTGTATGACATTTTAGGAATAGGGTGATGAGGAGAAGTCTGAAGAGATAATCTTGTGCAGAAATGGTTGTTAAGATTAACATAGTTGAGTTACTTGGGTATTTTTAAGCTGAGTCTTTTTGAGAGAGGGCATGAAGAACACAACAGGCTGGAAAAGTAGCAAAGCCCGGTTGTGTTGACACAGGTTGCCCCCTCTCACCTGAAACCTTGCCTTCTATCCTCTAGGTCTGGTTGTATCTATTAGGAGATGTAGCCTAGGAATGGAGTCCATATAACTCTTTCCTTGCTGGCAAAAGTGAATTCTTGTTCTTCCTTGTTGCTCATTTTCATTGTAACATTTACCAGCCTTTCATTTGTATCAATTTGATTATTTGGAGGCTGTATTGTAAAGCAGACCTGTGAAAGGATCTGTTTTATGGAGAAAACATTTCCAAAAAAGAGGCTGTGTTGGCAGACTGAACAGATGGTGACTTGTAGCAGCCAGTAAGAAACTTGAAACTGCTTCTACCTAGTGGGGAAGCACATCCTTTAAATGAAAAATTCCGTCCATTTCTGAGGAAGTGCTGTATGCTCTTTCCTCCAGCAAAGCTGAATTAACCAGCAGCTTACTTGCTTATGAAGATTTTTGTTCTGATCAGAAGATTGCATCTGGAAACGTTTTATTGGTCTGAATGGCTTCTTGCAGATGATTCTTCTTTCCTCAGAACCAAAACCTGTTTATTGTTCCTTTGACTTTTTTAGAGTTTGCTCCAGGAAATGTGATGGTGAATATTTGTGTCATTTGGGGAACAGGGAGAGAAATTAACTTTCTATTAATTTTGATCTTCTTGTCAATGAGCAGGCAGGAGAAATCACGATGGGAAATCCTCCAGCAAGAGCAACGGCTGATAGAAGAGAAGAATAAACGCAAGAAGGCACTCCTGGCCAAAGCTATTGCTGAGAGGTAAGGGGCTATGCTGCACCATGGGCTGAGGCTGAGGAAGGGATTACTTTTCATCTGCCACCGGCTGCATATCTTCTATTTAAATCTCTTTTTTTCCTCCTCTCTTGCTCTGTGTGTAGTGCTCCACAAGTGAGCAACTGTGATCGACATTTCCCTTTGATGACAAGTGCTGGCTAACAAGTTGTGACTAAGCTTTTCACACTTCCAAAGCTACAGCTCTGTGTGCAGATGGAAAAGTTATTACACAGTTCAAGAATTAGCTGAAGCCCTTGTGCCTGTTATTAAAGGCGTGTTGGGAAGTTGGGGTGCTCAGATGCTCATCCCTGGTCTGTTTCTGATTTGTTTTCACTGGCTTTAAGGAAAGTTTATTTGATTCCTAACCTTTGAAGGGAAACTAGCTATTTCTGTTTGGGCTTTTGACTCTTTCTTACTAGTATGTGAAAAGTATTGAAAAGAGAAGATGATCAGCTTTAAGTTTAAGAACGTACTGGTTTACTGCTGACTGATTAGAAATTATAAAAATTCATATGTTCTCACAGTTGTTAGCTCTTGCTCTTCAAGTGACCAGACTTGAAGGCATTGGACAGTGTTGTCCATGGAGATAGTTTAAGACTACAGGGAAGGCAGGGTTTGTAGGGAAGGATAATGGAGCAGCTGATTACACTGGATCAAGCAAGGAGATGTCAAGCTTTCAGGCTCACAGTGCTCTCCCAGATATGTATTATATTCTGCCCATCAAAGCCCTTGAGTAGCACAGGTGAGCATAGCCAGTACTGTGTGCAGAAGACAGATTCTCTTTGAGGTTCTGAAGATTTTGTTTTCCTTTGCCAGGCAGAAATGAAACATTTGTTTTCCTTTTCCAGGCAGAGATATAACACAAGTACATTTGGTCTGAGTCGGTGCAGGACAGCAAATGTGGGTGTGACCACCAGGCTGGGTTCTTCCTTCTGGAAGCAGAGCATGAGGAGAGAGAGGAGGACTTGGAAGGTGACAGCTAGGGAATTACATCTGACATTCAAAGGCCTTCTGCAGGCTCTAAGCAATACTACAGGATGTCTGTTCCTCTCCACCCACATCATCTGGTCTAAGAGAGATGGTGTCACTGCCTACACATCTAGTCTTGCTGCCAGGTACCTGCTTTGGGCTGTGAAGCAGTGGCCGAAAAGCATGGTTTTGCAGGTGGTGATGAGTGACAGCAAAGTGACCTGGTGTAAAAGCTTGTTGAAAATTACTTAGCTTGCTTGGGAGTGAAATCCATCAAGCCTTGCTGCCCTTAGCAACATTTAGTTTTCAGAATTCAGGAATGAGTAGGCTGAGTTGAAAAGGTTACGTAGGGCTTGATTGAAGTCCTTCGTGTTTGATGTAAAACTTTCCATTGACTTCACTGGGATCTGGCTAGGCCTTTTGGGAAAAATCTTACAAAATGGAAATCAAGCATAGGTTAGGTGACTTTTTGGCCCCTACTAACTGGGCTTCTTTGAAAGGGGATATTTGCAGGGCTAAATACCCTTCCCCCTCTCGCTCCCCCCAAACCATTTCCTGTTTCCTTACACTGAGAACTACTTAGATACAGCAGCTTCTTGTGTGTTTCCACAGTTAAGAAACACGATCCGTTTTAGGCACTTTGATTATAGTCATTACGTAATTTTGCTGTGGTCCTTTAATAGCAGGCATTTTAGATCCCTGTGGATGTTAAAAAAGATCAAAAGTCTTAAACCATAAAGGAGAAACCTTCTGAATAGCTCTTAAAGAAGTTAGTTGCTCTGCAAGTGAAATGGGGCCCATTATGTCAAGGAGAGGCTTGAAAAGGAAAAAAAAAAAGCATATTCCTTTTGCAGATCCAAAAGAACTCAAGCTGAAACAGTAAAACTAAAAAGGATTCAGAAGGAGTTGCAAGCTCTGGATGACATGGTATCTGCTGACATTGGCATCCTGCGGAACCGCATCGATCAGGCCAGCTTGGACTACTCCTATGCCCGGTAAGTGACAGACAGGGAGGAGGGAATAGCCCTGTCTGAGTGGAGGAAGAAAATGCTGTTTCCTGTCACTGAAGCAGTAATGAAGTTATGTCATTGGAATGATGTGTAGTTAAAGTGGTCACAGGCTGGGGGGCTTTCAAATCTTGAGGTAAAAGTGTGCTTTTTATTTCCTAATTTTTCCCTTGGAATCTGGAAACTGAAGGAGGTTTTCTGGCTGCAGACTCTGCTTTCCAGCTTCGTGATGTCACGAGACATACTTAGTGCTTTAACTGTGCAGTTGTCCATAAGCCCTGCTTTATTGTTTCAAGGTTGTTTATTTCTTCTCAGGGGGAAGGAGGTTTTTTTTTTAAAGTCCTAAAATGAAAGTCCTTTTCAGGGAAACTTGCTTGTTGATGACAGCTCTGGTCCTTTTGGAATCAATGGGACCAATTAAGCTTAAAACATATAATACTGCTGAAGTGCTTTTGGAACTGGGACCAAAAATTGAAGGAAAAAGCAAGCTTTCACCCTTCACAGTATGCCTTTAATCACTCTGGTTCTGATGAGCTCCTTAAATGCAAGAAATTAATCGGGACACCCTATTAGTTGTGGGTAAACCACAACATCAGTAGATAAACATCAGCATGTTTATGTAGCCTTTCAATAAAATGGAAATGTTCAGTTGCGGTTTTTGGTTCACGATTCAATGTGTTAAATGTGTATTTCTCCTTATGAGTTCTGCTATACGTTGACCACAGGCCAATAAACATAGTAATTAGTCTTTAAAAAAATAGCAGCAGTAGCTAAAAAATAAGGATTTCTTTTGTGTAATTATCATTTGAGATATCTATGATTAACTGTAGTTGCAGTTGCTGAGTGCATGTGAGTACAGAATTTCATATCCTCAAGAGGAAAAACATTTCAGGGTACTTTAGGTTTAAGTCTGGTTTCTAAAACCATTAAATGCTCCTGGAAATTTCCATACCAAAATTTTATAATAATGTGTCTATTCTAAATGCTTAACAGCAAAAGAGCGTATAACACAGGTGGCTCTGACATTTGGAAAGCAGTTTTTAATGAAGACAACAAAAGGGGATGCTGGTAGGATGAAGGGGATAAACTTGACAAAATACTTATGACTTTCATGAACTTAGTAAGTCTCTTTTTTTTTTTTTTGTGAGGGAGGGATTTGGAAATGTGAGTTAGATACTTTCAGTGTTGTAGATTTTATGCATTAGGAGCCAAAGCCGATTTACTTTTAAGTGGTGTCTTTTTAAGCAATTTTTCAGTTCTTGCCTTATGTTTTAGGGATAAAACACAAACAATTTTCATGGGTCAAAAAGTGCAATATTAAATAATCCTAACCACATATATAGTTAGGGGCATTTGACAATTGCTGTGGAATGGAATTTTTGTAAATATGATGTGAAGAATATGTGTGAATTGAGCCCAAAGGTTTAACTTTGCAGATGTTTCCAGCATAGCATTAGTTCTTCCATTTCAGATACCTGACCCAGGGGAATCTTGGCTTTCTTGTGAGGGAAACGTAAGTGGGCACCTTCTGCCTACTGCAGTCGTAGCCTCTACAGCTCGGGCAAAGTTTTGTTATTATTATATAAAAGAACATATTTGAGAAGGCTTTTCTATATCTTCTTTCCTTCTGTTTCCCTAAGCAAAGGATCTCTCCTATCTTCCTGTTGCTTTGTTTAACCTGGTATTTGAATCTGGTTTCATGAAACAGCTGGATTCTTTTTTCAACCACCTTACTAATATTAGTTTTATGAATGCCCTGTAAGGTACCTCGCGTAGTCATTCTGCAAAAGCCTTTGCATGTGCCCTTTCCTCATGAGCAAGATTGCATCTGTCTTTCTATCAATTAAATCAGAATGAATATACCGATTCACTGAGTGTAGCAGAAGATGCATCATTAATGTGGACACCAACCATTAAAGTGCTAGATATCCCGGATGTGTTAACCTCAGTAGATATTTGGAATATTTCCTTTTTGCTATATTTGTCATGACAGGAAGTGCAAATTGGCAGGAGGTGTGTGTCGGGGGGATGCTTACAATAAAATTCTACATCTGTCGGCCCGCAGAAGTTGTGATCACTATTGATGTCATATGCTGTGTCAATCTGTGCCGCTCATGATTTTCTGAACTTGTATATGGGTGGCCGGAAGAGTACACTTCTAGACCAGATCGGAATGTAAATATGTACAGCACCACTGTAGCATCTGTATCTGTCGGGTGGATGATTGGATCGGAAAAAACACGAAACTGTTTTGCAGGGTTTCAGTTCACTAGGTAGCTGTTCATTAGAAGTGTGAAAACACTACAGTTTCTGATGGTTTCTTTCTGCTGCTAGTGATGCATCTCTTAAAACAGGCAGTAAAAATGCTTGCTTGTAATTCAGTCTGTGGATTTCAGATGAGCAAATTAACTCTTGGAATACAGCAGCAATAGGGGCTAGTGTGTCAAGAGGAGATGATTTGATCAATTGACACTTATTTTCTTCCCTTTTACTAAAGTAGCAGCATGTCATGAATCGCTGGCATAATGCATTGCAGAGCACATTGTATTTCAGGGATGCTTAAAGTATCTGTCCATGTGTCAGATTGCAAAGTGCTTTGAGAATTAACCCACTAGGAATGATGGTGATTTTGCAGGAAGCGGTATGATAAGGCCGAGTCGGAGTACGTGGCAGCCAAGCTGGACCTCCAACACAAGACAGAGATCAAGGAGCACCTCACGGAGCACCTGTGCACGATCATACAGCAGAACGAACTCCGCAAGGCCAGGAAGCTGGAGGAGTTAATGCAGCAGCTGGAAGTGGAGGCAGATGAGGAAAAGCTGGAACTTGAGATAGAGGTGGAGCGGATGCTGCAGCAGCAGGAGGCAGAAGCAGGGAGACAAGCCAGCCAGTCACACAGTCATGCTGGGACAGCTAAGGAAAACCCCACTCCCAGTGTTACGGCGCGGGAGAGTGAGCATGCTAACCATGTTGTTGCTTCTCCTGCTATTTCTGAACAGTTGGTTCAGTCTCAAAACTCCGGTACCAAATCCCTCTCCAATGTGGACAGCCAAACTCAAGCAGTGAATGTGACTCCAGGGAACACCCCAGCTTGTTCTGCTACATGACTACTATATTCAGATAAGCCAGCCGGTTATGGATGATACCCTCCTGTGGGCTTGTGTGCTGTATGTTATATCAGGGCTTCTGCAGTGCCAGTAATATGCACTTCATTTCTCTTTTCCTTTAATACTGTTTTCAAATGTTAAAGGCTCTTTTTTTCACAAGACTCCCATTTGGGGTTCACCATCTGTCATCATCATTCTGGTTTAAGTTCGTGTTCTAATGCCCAGCTCTTCATGGGGCTTTGTACCTTCCTGAAACAGGATACTTGAAAGCGAACAGTAGGGTTTTTCCAAAGGCTCTCAGCACATTGACGTCACAGATACCTGTTCCAGGCACTGTGCAAGGGATATATATCTACAGGAGAAAACATCACGATTTAGTCTGCTTCTGAACACATTCTGTCCCCTGACAGCTGCGATAGGATGTTTGTCTTCCTTCACATTCATAAGGGATTAGTTTTCAGTGGTTTTTAATCCTGTGAAACCCAAATGTTTACTTTAATTGTCTTCATAACTGATAATCTTTCCTATACTTGCTATAAAGGAAATTCGCATATTGAGGCAAATTGCAAAGTCATTTGTAATATTTCCTATTTATCACTTTGCCTATTTCTTCCAGATAATGCTAGATCACACAAAGCTATATATTGATAACGTTACTGAAATCACAGCAGCTATGATTTCACAAAAATGATGGGTTACATCATTGCAGACATTGCAGAATGTATGATGTAGAAGTAGAAACCCAAAAGAGAGCGTGTTACAATTAAAGCTGTTCCATTACAAACATTTTTCTCTGCCGTAGTTGCCTCAAAATTCCAGTAATTAGCCAGGGACCTTGTAATGAATAAGCCCCACAGTATATTGGAAGTGAGCCCATTTTCATATAATATTCAAGGAGTTTTCTTGCCTGAAGAGCAGGTTTGTACCCCACAAGAAGTTCAGCTGGTTTGCTCTGTTGCTGTTGAAAGGTTTAAAATGCTATTCCAGGTGGAGAAAATCTCAGGAATTAAAATAGGGGACATAGGAAAACCTCTCATAGACCGATTGCAGCTGCAAACTGTGGTGACTGGTTCATAGTTATCCGCTCTGTAAGAGGAAGGCTGCTTCCATTGTGGAAATGGTTTCTTTAATACCGACCTGAACGTGTCAGAGTTTATGAATGAGTTGCTGGATGATGCCATTGAGTATATAAATGGGACACTGATTGTCTCTATGGCTTTAAAAGTGGAAAAACATGTCACTACATTTCATTTTTATTCTATTAATAAATCATTGCATCTTTTACACAGTGTGTTTACTTTCAGTTGTGATATCTGACGCTAATACACGTATCCAAGACCTTTTTTCCACAGGTGATAAATGACAGAATCAGATATGTCCTTTGGCAACTTGCCGCTGTGTGAAAGTAAAACCTTGAAAAAGGCTGTTCCAATATATGAAAATGTTTGAAACAAAGACATGGCAGGATACAGCTTGGCAGGAATCTTTTCAACTAACTGTGGCCCAAGGCAGCAGTGGAAAATCTCTACTGGTGTCTCCTATACACAGGAGGAAGAGGGATAAATCTGTTTCCTAGAGAAGCTGCTCGTCATCAGGGCTGACTGAAATTAGAAAACTCCAAAGTAACATGTGAGATGTGTATGAAGCTCTGTGGTTGCTGATACACTGCATTCCCTGTTATTTTGCTGGAAGACTTGGCCTAAAAGCCAAAGAATTGATTGTATTGTGAGAAAATTGTGACCGACTGTCTGCAGTTGCAGAACAGCTTGTAGCAACCTGACTATGGTTTTCAAAACTGGATACCAGTAAGTGCAATAATAATTTAATTGTACGATTCTTGTTTCCATCTTCTGCAGCTGTCCCCAGTTGCTCCTCAAGAGATTCTAAGTCCTAGTGGATAGGTCTGTTCCTCATTACAGTTGTATTCAGCTCATCAGGGGACATACAGAAGAGCATCTGAGAGAAGAGTTGTAATGGTATTTACAGGAAGCACATGCACACCATTTTGCATACATTTTGTGTTTCTCTGGTGGACTAAAATGTGGCTAAAATAGTCCTGCTTGATTGTACCTTGTTGTCACAGGTAAGGTTACTGTTTGAACTCCTCAAACCAAAAAAGGCAAAAAATTATAAGTCCAAAAAGCTTTTTGACCACTACTTAAGATTATGAGTTTCCTAGAAGGGAGTAAGTTTCTTTCCAACAAAATTAGTTAAAAGCTGAAAAATTCTTGTGTGCCATCCTGATAGTGCTGGTGCTGTTTTTGCCTGACAGGGAAGATGCTATTGTTAGGGTCAGCAGTTTTTGTTCTCTTACAGGTCCCTCATCGAAGTTCTGGCCAGTTCTATCTGTCTTTAACTTCTGAGCTTGCAAAATGAACTGAACTGGCTGGAAGCCACAAGAAACAGGCATTTGAAATAACAATAGGCAGCCTAGCATTTGGTTGCTTTCTCTAGACAGGGAGCTCAAGAGTTAAATTGTTTGATCTGAGTTATGAAGCCTTTCTCTGACGTGTGATATAAACCACTACCATGGTGTCAGTTCCACTTTGGAAGTTCACAAATGTTTTGATGGGTGCCAGTGTGCTGGTTTAACATTCCCCCTATGCCGGAGCCAAGCAGTCCAGTCATAATTGTAACAACATGTGTGCTGGTCAGAAATGCCAGGGGATGATTTTGGTGCAACAAAAGGGTTGGGGTTTTTTCCTTGTTTTTCCTTGAAGGAAAGAGAACTGTTGGAATTGAGGGTCTTCAAGCAAAAGCCATTTCTACCTTTGTAGTAGCTGATATATCGTACAATGTTTGGCTTTGCTGTCACTGGAGTGCGCTGAAGGCAGGTGTGCTTTCAGCTAGCGTGTTGTATCTCTTCAGAAAAATGGGAAAATGAAAAGTTCAGGAATGGGTGGGCAGATTATTCAGTGAGGGCGTCTTGCAGGTAGAGGTAGAAGTCTGAATGTGAAGCGTGCTGGGGTTGAACGCCCATGGCAGGGAAAATAGAGCAATGTGTGGCATCTGACAGTAACACTGCAGGGCTCATCACAGGGGGCTTGTGTTCTCCTGTGGCAATGTAGCCATTTCTGTGTTGGCAACTGCATTACCGTTATGGGAAGGAGTGGAAAACACTGATGTCTACCAGTGTGAGAATGTTTCAAAGCACAATATAATTGCCCATGTTGCAGTTTGGCCAGGATGTCGGGATTAACACTCCCTCCTCTGTCAAGAAACGTTTAAATGAGCACAGATGGTCATGGCTCAGCCTGGGGTTCCCATGGATGTCTAGTGCATGGTGTAAAACACTTGGACAACCCCCAATCTGATTGTATATCCATCCAGATGAAGTTGGGCTCTCAAGAGGTTTCAGCTTAGTATAGCTGTCTGGGGGGAGATTCAAGTTCTCCATCAACCATTCTTCTTCCTAATATCTTCTGCGATGCAGTGGAGTCTTCCCTTTGAGCCTGTATCCCATCTAAACCGAATGAGGTAAAACTAGCAAGAGTGAAAAGTGGTGACTGGCCTGGTGATTGGGGGCACTCTGTTTCCTGACCAGCTGTATGAAGAACATACTAGAAAGGATTGCTTATGGTACAGTTACCCTATTCTGGGGAAGTTCTGGAGCCAAAGAAAGGGGCAGAGCACTATCAAATTGCCGCCCATGCTGGGATTCCCTCTGTTCCGCATTTTCTGCTTAGCACAGTAGGATCTATAGACTTTCTGTTCCCAGCACCCTACTGTCAAGGTTCAAACTTGGATCAAAACCCCTGTGATATGGATTGTCCCAGCCTGATGCCTGGTACTTTACCAGATGCCCTTCATGCGGGATCTTTGAGCATCTGTGGATCCTGGACTGAGTTTGGTACTTTTGTGTGATTCTGTGTAGGCATAATGTCTTGGGTCTCTATGCTCCGCTCTTGTGCATGCCATAGCTATGTATGGGTTCAAGCATGTATGTGTTTATGTAAGGGTTCAAGCAGTTGCTGAGAGCTAGATAAATTTTTTCTGCAGGCCTAATCCAACCCAGAAATCGTGTGTTCAACTCTTTGGTATTATATTGTGATCCCTTTTCTAATTCTCTGGATAGAAGCAGGTGTGGTGTGCAAAGGACAAAGGGTTTTGCCAGTGGCAATGCAAACAGGGTGTAGAGATGTGGACTGGTATTATAGAAACCACATGCTTGTTAAGTGCCCTATTTAGGCTTGTCTGCATGGTCCTATTAAAATGAGTGTTGGCTCCTTTGATGGGGCACGAGACTGGTTTCCTTCATCATTTCCCCTGATTTATGTCCCAGCAGCAAACTTGTACATCAGCAGGGAAAGACCAAGTAACGAGAGAAGTTAGCCAAACCTCACCCCCTCGGCATGATAGGACATCAGATCCTTCAAATCCTTGCCTTTGGCAGCCTGTTAGTTACAGGGTTTAAATCACGCCTTTTAAGACAGAGGTAAAGACACTAAAAAGCTGGGGCCTTTCTGAATTAGGGCCTGGATTGTGTAGTTAGAGTCATTTTCTCAATTAGCTAAACATAAATCAGTATAACGAGGCGCTTGGGAGCACTCGGCAGGTTTAGTACCTTGTCTCTCCTGCCTCTGTCCATACCGCTCCCACCTGCTTGTTTGGCTGATCAGCCAGTGATTTTATTTTTCCACGCTGCTAGAGCTGCTGTTTTCACACCTGGCATATGTGCGAGAGGTGAGAACTGGGAGAAATTGCTCTTATGCAGTAAGTAAAGCAGCCCTCATGTGTGGCAGAGATCTGACAGTCTCAGCACCCCATGCCACACCGTCCTTCAGAAGATGGGGACAGTGTCCTATTGAATAGGCAGTGGTGGGTGGTGGCATGAGTGCGTAAAGCCTAGCAGCAGCAGGGCTGCCATTCAGTGTGGCATCTGGGACTGCTACGTGTGTGTCGGGGCCAGGCACTGTGTTTGTATTGTAGAGCTGGGTAGTGAATGTATGACTCCCTTTTCCAGGGCCACACCATGTAACAGCTGTGCTTTTCTGGACACT